ACTGATTACTGCTGGCCGCTCTCCGGATGACGCTCCAGGGTGATTTCAACAAACTACAACATCAGTTAGTTTCTCTTAAGCTAGTCCTGAATACTTCCAAAACCAAGGTGCTATGCTTCTCTCCGGGATTAAAGCAGGAAGTTATTTTTCCACAATTACATTCCTTGAATAATTATCAAATAGAGCAAGTCAAGATCTATAAGTATCTTGGGGTCATCCTGGATTCAAAACTTAGTTTTGAAGATCACATTGATTATATTGGTAAAAAGACAAAAATAAAAATTGGTTTTCTGTATCGACACAAGCACTGCTTCCCCCCAATGTTCCGTTTGGAATTGATAAAAGCTACCATACTGCCTTTACTTGACTACTGTGACATCGTGTATAAATCAGCCCCAAGTACTGTACTGAAGAAGCTTGATTCCGTCTATCACTCGGCCTTAAGATTTGCATTGAACTGCCCATATAGGACTCACCACTGTGATCTCTACATTGGGTCAAACTTAACATCTCTTAATGTTCGACGGCTTGTGCACCAGATCTTATTTATTCACGATGTACTTACAAAAAATTCCGCAGACTACCTACTAGATCTCCTCTCTGTTTCAAAGAACAAATTTGACCTCAGGTCTTCGCTCATTTACCAGCTTCACATTCCCTATTGCCGTACTAAAACTGGAGGAAGGGCCTTTGCTATTGATGCCCCCAGGGTCTGGAATGCTATTGCCAATAAACTGCAACTTGAATCACTACCTATGAGATCTTCACTCAAAACTGCTCTAGAGGAGTTGTACAACCCTAGCTGCCACTGCTATTCAGTGGCCTAAAATATGGCTCTAGATTTTGGTGTTATAATTAATTTATGAAGTTTATTGTAAAAAAAATTCGGTCACTGTCCCTATGATCACTGTTACATTGGATTTATGGCTTTTATTTTGGTGATTTCGAAAAGTTTTTTTGTTTGTTTTGGCCATGTTTTTGTTTATTGTAGTACCGAGTTGACTGATGGCCTTAATCTTAGTTGTCTTGTGGTTGTTGTTGTTCATATTCTAAGTTCTTTCGGTAAAGTCACGTTGAAGGGAAACAACAAAATAATAAAATATATATAAAACAATACAAATTCTCACGAAGTTTCGACCATAACACAAACGGTCGTCTTCAGGCGTGTTGGTTTGCATAAATTTATTTTATTTATGGTCGAAACGTCGTGAGAATTTTTATTGTTTTATATATACTTTATTATTTTGTTGTTTCCCTTCAACGTGACTTTACCGAAAGAACTAAGAATATGAATTACTGCAGTCACGAAAGCTTTAAATCAAAATTTAAGTTGTTATTTTGACTTGCATCCCACTGGGAATTTTGCACACAGCGTTGGTGTACGGTGCTATTTCAGGAATATTTTGATATTTTTTTCCTGTATTTTCTGTTTGCACAGTCACACAAAGTAGTCACTTTAAGATGTTTTCTTGTTCGTGTTGTTTGTTTGTTGCGGGTGCACCCGATTCAAGAGCCGAATGGCTCACAGGGCTATACCAACACAAATGAACTATGAACTCTGACTCCGCGACGTCACTTCCTGGTTCAGGGGTCGTCTCGTGACGTCATCGAGCGCGAGACACACCCCCACCCACCCCTCTTCCCCTCCCCTCACCCTGAGCCCGTTTCGGGCTCGATGACGTCACGACACGACCCCTGAACCAGGAAGTGACGTCGGGGAGTCGACTCCGTGCTTCTCTGAGCAGAGGTGCTGATGGTGGTGGTTGTGGTGGTGTTGTTGTGGTGTTGTTGTTGTTGTGGTGGTAGTGTTGTGGTGTTGTGGTGGTGGTGTTGTGGTGGTGTTGTGTTGTGGTGGTGGTAGTGTTGTGGTGGTGGTGTTGTTGTGGTGGTGTTGTGGTGGTGGTGTTGTGGTGGTGGTGTTGTGGTGGTGTTGTGTTGTGGTGGTGGTGTTGTGTTGTGGTGGTGGTAGTGTTGTGTTGGTAGTTGTGTTGTGGTGGTAGTGTTGTGGTGGTGGTGTTGTGTTGGTGTTGTGGTGGTGTTGTGGTGGTTGTGTTGTGGTGGTGTTGTGGTGGTGTTGGTTGTTGTTGTGGTGGTGTTGTGGTTGTGTTGTGGTGGTAGTGTTGTGGTTTGTTGCGGTGGTGGTGTTGTGTTGTGGTGGTGGTTTGTCGTGGTTATGTTGTGGTTGCTGTGGTGTTGGTGGTGGTTGTCGTTGTCTTGGGCTGTGGTGGTTATTTTGTTTGTGGTTGTAGTGGTTGTTGTGATGGTTGTTGTGATGGTTGTTGTGGTGGTTGTTGTAGTTGTTGTGGTGGTTGTTGTAGTAGTTGTAGTGGTTGTTGTAGTGGTTGTTGTGGTTGTTGTAGTGGTTGTTGTGGTTGTTGTAGTGGTTGTAGTGGTTGTTATGATGGTTGTTGTAGTGGTTGTTGTGGTGGTTGTTGTAGTGGTTGTTGTGGTGGTTGTTGTAGTAGTTGTAGTGGTTGTTGTAGTGGTTGTTGTGGTTGCTGTGGTTGTTGTAGTGGTTGTTGCGGTTGTTGTAGTGGTTGTTGTAGTGGTTGTTATGATGGTTGTTGTAGTGGTTGTTGTGACTGTTGTAGTGGTTGTGGTTGCTGTGGTTGTAGTGGTTGTTGAGGTGGTTGTTGTAGTGGTTGTTGTGCCTGTAGTGATTGTTGTGGCTGTTGTAGTGGTTGTTGTAGTGGTTGTAGTGGTTGTTGTAGTGGTTGTGGCTGTAAGTGGCTGTCTGAGATGCCATCTGTTGAGGAAGTATTGAAGGCGATCCAGAGCCTGAGACCAGGAAAGGCACCGGGGTATGGCGTTTGTGCACAGACTGCCCTACATGACATCATAGCAACAGTCTGGACCACTGGACGGGTTCCGCAGGATTGGAAGGATGCCCTGGTGGTCCCCATCTTTAAGAAATGAGACCGCACAGACCGTAACAACTACGGGGGCATCTCACTCCTCTGTGTGCCGGGAAAGGTTCTGGCAAGGATTATTCAACATCGCCTTGCCAGGCACGCCCAGGAGAGGCTTGCGGAGACCCATTGTGGTTTCAGGAAAGGGCGGTCCTGCACAGATGCCATATTCTCTGTCCGTTTGCTACAGCAGAGGTGTCGGTAATTCCAACAAGACCTACATCTCTGCATTATTGAGCTGGTCAAGGCCTATGATACCATCAGTAGGCCTGGGCTCTGGGTTGTTCTTCGTGCTTTCAGAGTCCCTGACCCTCTACTCACGATCATTAAGGACCTTCATGATGGTGAGCGGGCCCGGGTAAAACTACGTGGCCGGGAGTTGGAGCCATTCCCTGTTCACCTTAGGGTGCGACAGGGATGTCCTCTGGCTCCAACATTATTTTAAAAAATTCGACCACGTAATTCGTGAAGCCTTTGATGGCTGTACCAGAGGAGTTTCCATCTGGTACAGATACAATGGGAGGCTGATCGATGCCCGGGTGCGTTCAAGGGATGGATCCCTATTGGTCAACCACGTTATGTATGCCGATCTGGTAATTGCCGCTCACTCAGAGGAGGAGTTGGAGGCACGGCTGCTGAAACTGGAGCGTGCCACTAAGAGGTGGGGCCTTACCATCAGCCCCACCAAAACTAAGCACCTACCTGGGTATTTTGTACCATCGGACACTCCACCCCCACAACTCCCAATCAGTGATGGGGCAGTTGTGGAGAGAATGGAGAGTTTACCATACCTGGGCAGTGTGCTCATGACCGGCTCCGATTTGACAGCAGAGGTCTCACTCAGAATCAGTCGAGCCGCATTATCTTTTGATCGGTTGCGTAACGCTGTGTGTAAGCTACCTGGTCTGTCGCTCCGCACGAAGCTTCAAGTCTTCTCGGCCACGGTCATTCCCTCCCTTCTCTACGCTTGCCAAACGTGGACCCCCTAATGGAGCATCTTCGCCAATTGGAAACATTTAGGCTGGCCGGCCTACGATTCATTCTGGGTTTAACCAGGCTGGATTGTATGAGGAGCTCACAAATCTCTGAAACATCTTGGCAAAGTCCCATCGGTGAGCTCCTCCGGCAGGCAAGGCTGCATTGGCTGGGTCATGTAACCGGCATGCCCAGTCACCGCATGCCCAAACAGCTTTTGTTTGGCCGGATAGAGGGGGCTAAACGGGCGCGGCACGGGCTAGAGAAGAGATGGAGTGATGTGGTGCAGGAGGACGTGGAGCTGAGTGGACTTGCCGATGACTGGTACCAGTGGTGTCAAGATCGGCCTCTGTGGAGGAGGCTCGTGAAGGACGCTACTGGGCAGTTGGAGGCAGTCGCCCTCCAACAACAACGGAGGGTGGAGGAGCGACGCTCACAACAACGAGCGGAGCGCCGGGTGGCTAAAGCACAGCAGGTTGGCACAGTAGGGGGCACAGGTGGTGCATCAGCCAGTCATCTCGGTCATCTCAGTCAGTTGACCCGTGGCACCTGCTGGGTCTGCCCCGTGACCTGCAAGCGGGCGGTCGACACTTCACGTGGCCTCAAGGTGCACATGGCCTGGTACAAGCGTCGTGGTGACGTCACCGCCACTCAGTGGCGAATGGCGGTTGTTGTTGTGGCTGTTGTAGTGGTTGTAGTGGTTATTGTAGTTGTTGTGGTTGTTGTGACTTGTTGTGGTTGTTGTAGTAGTTATTGTGGCTGTTGTAGTGGTAGTTGTGGCTGTTGTAGTGGGTGTGGTGGTTGTTGTTGTAGTGGGTGTGATGGTTGTTGTTGTAGTGGGTGCGATGGTGGTTGTTTACCCAGCTGAAGCTTCGCTTCATCTTCCTTTTCTAGGAATATCGATTAAGTGGCAGCAACTGGGGATTGCCGTTCAGGTTGTAACAGCGACGCGCTAGGGGCTATCCATTTTTATTAACGTGTTTAAGCAAACAGATAGTCCACCGCCGGCTGCATTTATTATTATTATCGAGGCTTCACCCCCACCCCCCCCCCGTTTCCTATCCGTACATTGTCAGTAGAACCCCCCATACGCATTTGGGTTAACCCCCCTCCCAACTCCATGCGCACGTGCTAAATGGATGGCCCGCTACAGCGTGGGGCCATGCAGGGCTGCTCTGCCATTCTTCACTGATGGGGATTCTCTCTCTCTCCGTGTCATATGTCCTCAGCCTAGCTCATTGCTTCAGCTCACTGGGGGGACGACACTCGGCCGAGTCCTTCGATACGTTCCCCGTCCCTTTTGCTGTGACGTCGTTCTACACCGGTCCGTCTGTAAATCATCCGTCCGGGTTGCCACGCGATGTTGTGGGCGAGTCTTCAATACGCGACTTGGATTTACGTGATACAGCTGCTTTTGCCTAGATTGCTTTTTTTTGCTTAATTATTTCTCTCCCTTTGTAACGATATCGATTGAGGAGCGCGCACAGCTGTGGATGCGGTGTCTTAGGTGTAACGTACGTCAGTGTTTGATGTCTGCCCTGCTGCTACATTTACTTTTGATAAATGTTCCTCGTTCACTTTGAGGCCTGCTGCCTGTCCTCGTCACTGTACCTCATCGGTGAGATCCTCACTTTCAGGAATCCTTGCTCAATCTGCGAATATTTTACAGGGACTCCTGCAACTTGAGTCATTTGCAGGTAGCTACATTTTCAGCACTGCGATGCTCGTTCAACTACTTGGGTGGGAGGGGGGGTTGCATATTTTTTAATTAGAGGAAACCCTTGGAAAACAGGTGCAGAATATGCAAACTCTACGCAGAAAGGTTCAGTCAGAAGAATAATTTTCCTGTAAAGCCCACAGAGCTAAGAAGGTATTTGTCAAGGGCCACTCGGCCGACAGACAACATGAAAGCATTCCACAATTACACCCACTCACCTACTCAACCACTCACCCATTCACTTACCCAGCTACTCACCCACCTACCCACACCCACTCACCTATTCATCCATCCATTCACCCACTCACTGACTCGTCCACCACTCACCCATCGAACTACCCACTCACTCACCCACCCACACTCACTGGCACATTCACTCTCACCCACTCACAACAAAGATCAAATATTCCTCGTATAGCTTAAATGAACTGTCGGGGCAGGTGCTGTAAGCGCGCACCTATGAAGGCCGTCACGGCACACGAGGGGATTTGTGGCAGCACCACGCCCGACCACCTTTGTATCCCCAGTGGTGATGTTTGCAGACCACACCAGTCATTTGAGGCCGATTCCCTCTAGGGGAGGCCCGTTCAGATAATCGTCACTGGCGTTTTCCATAAACGGGAATCGAACTCGCACACACGCAAATACGTGCTGAACAAAATAGTTCCACGGTTAAATTTTGCAAGTTCGCGTTTTAAATCTATATAAAATTAACATCCATAAAGCTTCTTTTGGGTTTGATCAGGTGAATATAAATGTGTCGTGAAACCTGCCACCACCGCTTGACAAAGCCAGTTACCAAGGTTTGTCACGTAAACATAACATGCCAATGAGTTACTAGTTCAGCACGCCAGTTGTGTGTTGGAGAGTGAACGCATTACAACATTTACAAGTCGAGCGATGTGACGTTTTAGTGTTGATTAACAACAGCAACAAGCTCCATTGGTCGATAGCCAGAATAGCGAAGAATTCCTTCTGTTTCCGGTCTGAAATAGAGGGCCTATCCGGTGCAAAAGCCAGAGAGGGGTTAATTTAGTCGTGTAACTTATATGGGAACATATTAATCTGAGCATATGCCCGTTCCTATTGTTGTTTGGATTATTTATAGTTAATCATTATGTTAATCTAAGAGTATGCAGAGAATGTGCATTCCATCTTATTGACTGCTAACAGTTAATGTACTGCGTGTAAGCGTTAGATGTCTATGTATATTGTGTCTAATGTGTATGTATATCTGCTGGGTGTACTGCACGCGAGTGTGCAATGCGTATGTACATGATGTATGTTGTGTGTAGGTTGTGTGACTAATATTTATGTATCGTGTATATTGCTTGTAGTGTGTGTGTGTGTTTATCTATTCCGTGTAATGTGTGTGTGTATATATTTGTTGTGTGTAATGTGTAGGTTGAATGACAAGGAGCAGTGACTGAAGACAGGCAGGTGCTAGAAGACACGAATGCGAGCAGTGTCCATACGACATGAGCCACACTGGACACATGAATCTGCACCAGAAGTCACAAATGGCGAAGGAGCACTTCAAGTGCACTGTATGTGAGAAGGCATTCAGACGGTCATCTCACCTTAATATTCATCAGAGAATACACACAGACGAGAAGCCCTTCAAGTGCACTACTTGTGAGAAGGCATTCAGACGGTCATCTCACCTTAATATTCATCAGAGAACACACACAGATGAGAAGCCATTCCAGTGCACTATGTGTGAGAAGGCATTTAGACAGTCAGCAGAACTTCAAAGTCACCAGAGAATACACACAGACGAGAAGCACTTCAAGTGCACTGTATGTGAGAAGGCATTCAGACGGTCATCTCACCTTAATATTCATCAGAGAACACACACAGATGAGAAGCCATTCCAGTGCACTATGTGTGAGAAGGCATTTAGACAGTCATCAGAACTTCAAAGTCACCAGAGAATACACACAGACGAGAAGCCCTTCAAGTGCACTACTTGTGAGAAGGGATTTAGACGGTCATCTCACCTTAATATTCATCAGAGAACACACACAGATGAGAAGCCATTCCAGTGCACTATGTGTGAGAAGGCATTTAGACAGTCAGCAGAACTTCAAAGTCACCAGAGAATACACACAGACGAGAAGCCCTTCAAGTGCACTACTTGTGAGAAGGGATTTAGACGGTCATCTCACCTTAATATTCATCAGAGAACACACACAGATGAGAAGCCATTCCTGTGCACTATGTGTGAGAAGGCATTTAGACAGTCATCAGAACTTCAAAGTCACCAGAGAATACACACAGACGAGAAGCCCTTCAAGTGCACTACTTGTGAGAAGGGATTTAGACGGTCATCTCACCTTAATATTCATCAGAGAACACACACAGGCGAGAAGCCGTTCAAGTGCACTGTGTGTGGAAAGGGATTTGCAGATTCAAGAAATGTTTTGCAACATCAGAGAACACACTCGTGCGATAAACCTTTCAAGTGCACTTTGTGTGAGAAGGCATTTAAACGCTCATCACAACTTCAAATTCACCAGAAAACACACACTGGCGAGAAGCCCTTCAAGTGCACTGTTTGTGGTAAAGCGTTTACACGGTCAGGATCTCTTAAACATCACCAGAGAACGCACACAGGCGAGAAGCCCTTCAAGTGCACTGTGTGTGGTAAAGCGTTTATACAGTCAGGATGTCTTGCCATTCACCAGAGACAACACACAGGCGAGAAGCCCTTCAGTTGCACTGTGTGTGGTAAAGCGTTTACACGGTCAGTATTTCTTAATGTTCATCAGATACAACACACGGGCGAGAAGCCCTTCAAGTGCACTATGTGTGGTAAAGCATTTACACACTCAAGATCTCTTAACGTTCACCAGAGAAAACACACAGGCAAGAAGCCCTTCAAGTGGACTGTGTGTGGGAAGGCACATGCAAGGTCAGACGACCAAAATAGACATGAGAAGATCTATGTGGAGACGGAGGTAGAATCGAGAAGTGAAAGTGCTGCATTGGGTCCATCTTGCATGCAACAAGAAGCAGAAGACGACCCCAGTTTAGCAACGTGGCCAGCAGTGAAGGTGGAACGTAAAGAAGTGAAGATGGAATGTGAAGAGGTGAAGGTGGACTGTGCAGAGGCGATGGTGGACTATAAAGAAGTGAAGGTGGAATGTGAAGAAGTGAAGGTGAAAAATCAAGTTGACTCATCTCAAGGCCCCGACCTCCAGGTGGATGGAGCAAGCGTGAAGCATGAGGCAAATTCAGACTCTGAGGGAGGGCCAGGCGACCCCCAGGAGTTTGTGGATGTGGAGGTGTGGGTGGAGTTTTTGGGGGTGTGATCGTTTAGTGGTCAGCACGCAGCTCTACGAGCCTGGCAACCCGAGTTTGATTCCCGTTCACGGTTTACATCGGTGACAATGATCTGAATCGGTCCTGGGCCTCCCCAAGGTCAACTCGGCCTCAAATGAGTACCTGGGGTGGTGCCTAAACAACACTGGGTAGATCAAGGCAAGTCGAGCGTAGCGCTAGCCACCCACTCCCTCGCATGCCATCGTCATGATCATGCAGTGCTTCCCCAAGGACGATGACCTCTTACATCGGGAGTCGGTAATCTTTCGTCATTTCACGTGGTTCTTCTGTTTGATTCCTGTGAGTTTGCTTTTGACTAGCAAGACCTGTGATTGAACGACACACCTTTCCACATAGGTCACATGCACAGTGGGCTGAGGGTAACTCCTGAGATTCAGATGCACTGGTCGATACTGTAACCACTTCTAACCCGCATCTCCTGGCTTAGCGTTTCTCCGTGTCATTAACATGTCTCTCAAGCAATTGAGTAGCTTCAGCCAAGGCTGTGCGCCATTGCTCTCTGTTTTTGGCGAGATTTTCCCTTGAATCTACCGAAATTCCCCATCTCAAATTTGAGTGAAATACATCCTTGAAGTGGCAGGTACTGACCTCCTCTACTTCGGGAATCCTTTTGCAATTTAGTGTAGAGCTATTGTTTCGGGAGGCTTTTTTCCTCCCATTCTGAGAGTGTCCAGCCCAGCGAAGTTGGGAAACGGTGACCATAGTTGACACAGCAGCCATTCCAGTTCTAGCAAGGTCTGCCGGATGTTGTAAATGGCGATGGTAAGGAGTCCAATTTTCAGAACTATGAAGGAGAGCTACTCCTTTAAACACTGCACTTTGTGCACATGGTGATGCCTGGCTTGTTCCATAGATGCTCTCTAAGGCGACCGAAAGCAGACGAGGCTCAGCTTATTCCAATTTTAATCTCTTGGTCCAGATTACCATCGCTTGTCACTGTACTTCCCAGATATGTGAACTTGGTGATTGAGTTAAGTTGGTGTTGGACAATGTGGAGCCTTGCTCCAGCTTCACTGATCCCAGAAGCCGGTTGATGCATTTCCTCAGTTTTATTGAGGACCACAGTGAGACCAAATTATCTGGCTGAATTGGAAATGTAGCTGTCTGGCCCACTTCAGTGTTTTCAACCAAGGCACAGTCATCTGCATACTAAAGTTCACGTACTATGATCTCCATGATGTGAAATTGTCATGCGTAACCATGGCACGTTATGAAGCCCAGAAACTGTGCGGGACTGGATAGCCACTACTACTTTCAGATCCTTCATAGCCTCATCAAGCATAGTGGCAAAGAACAGGCTGAAAGCGTTGGAGCTAGAATACAGCCTTGCTTCACTCCATTTGAAATAAATGCATCTGATATGTCTGAGGGAGTGCTAACCCTTCCAGCATACCATCATGGGACTATCTTGATTATTCCAAGGATTCTGGGTGGACACCCAAACTTTAGTCGTAGTTTTCATAGTCCCTTTCTCCCTACGGTGGCAAAGTCCAGATCAACCAAGGCCACGTGCAGTGGCTACTGATGTTCAATGCACTTCTCTTGTAGTTGTCCGAGTGTAAAAATCATGTTGGTTGTGTCTCGACCTTCCCTAAAACCACCTTTGCTTTATGGGATAATTTTGTTCGTGATGGCTTCATTGATTCTGTTAAGAATGAGCTTGGCTAAACATTTACGTGGGTTGAAAGAAGAGAAATGTCCATGTAATTGTTACAGTTGGCCCTATTTCCCTTTTTAAAGATGGTACTAAAACTGCATCCTTCAGGTCCTGTCATAGGACTCCACATTTCCAGAACTCTCTGAATAAGTGCCATAATTCTTCAACGAGAATATCTCCAGCAGCTTGTAAGTATGTCTGCAGGAATCCCGTCCGCTCCTGGGGCTTTACCAGATTTGAGTTGTCGGATTGCTAGTTTAACCTCATCAAGTGTGGGGTCACTGTCAAGTTCTTGCAGAATCGAAGGTGGGGTTACTTTATCTCGTGCTTGCTCTGTGGTTGTACCAGACTGGTTCAATAAACCTTGCAAGTGTTCTCTCCATTTCATAAACAGGTCCCTGCAGGGTGGGCTGGTAGGAACATTGGAATTTTTCAAGTCTCTGCGCTGTCTATTGCTGATTTTACACCCCAACAGCACGAGATTTCACTTCGTTAAAGTATTGAAAGGGGACGGACGGACGGACACATTAATCTATTGCAGGCTGGTACACTCAGTTTACAACTTCGTCCCTACCAGTATAAGTTCCCCAATCTCAGTGATCAGGCATTGGGCCATGTTTTATTTCAAGTGGGGTTTCTGTACAAGTAACTGCGCCATAGACTTTCTTGAATTGCACAATAAAACTGTTTATACTGCTATGCATCTGTGTCATTTTGTATTTCAGCTGCTTAATTGTGCCACCATTTAATTTCAATTTATCTTAGCTTCTTCTGGAGGGTGGACCATATTGTATAATATGCAGTTTCCTACTTTGGGATTGAGGGCCTCGAAGTAGGGTGTTAGGAGCTGAAGCTATTGCATATAGAAGCTCCTGGATCTGTGGGTCATTCTCATCAAACTAGTCCTTGTGTCTTCGACTTGAAATTCAAAGGACGTTTGATGAGACGTTATAGACGGTGTCCTTGAAACTAGTCAAACGTAGCGCAATATCTTTGCGTTCGTAGGCAAGGTTTCTCAGAGATTGGCCAAGATTCTATTGAAAGGAGAGCTAGAACTATTCTGCGTTAAGTTTGATTATGTTGAGTTTATTTGGAATTGGTGCAGTCTTACACTTTGGAGTATAAATGTAGTGGTCGACTTCACACGGACAACTTCTTCTCGTCTCCGACACCACTTTTATTACAAACTCTCCACATTTAACGCCTGTGACTTCATCATTTCTCTGCTCGCCGCGCTCCACTTGCCCCGCTCGCTCCGCTCCCTTCCCTGTCTCTCGCTCTCTCCTCGTTGTCTCCGTCTCTGTCTCTCTCCGTCGCTCGTGGTCTCTGTCTCTCTCCATCGCTGTCTCTCGCCGTCGCTGTCTCTCTCCACTCGCTGTCTCTGTCTCCGTCGCTCGCTGTCTCTGTCTCTCTCCGTCGCTCGCTGTCTCTGTCTCCGTCGCTCGCTGTCTCTGTCTCTCTCCGTCGCTCGCTGTCTCTCTCCGTCGCTCGCTGTCTCTGTCTCTCTCCGTCGCTGTCTGTCTCTCTCCGTCGCTCGCTGTCTCTGTCTCTCTCCGTCGCTCGCTGTCTCTGTCTCTCTCCGTTGCTTGCTGTCTCTCTCTGTCGCTCGCTGTCTCTCTCTGTCGCTCGCTGTCTCTGTCGCTGTCTGTCTCTCTCTGTCGCTCGCTGTCTCTCTCTGTCGCTCGCTGTCTCTCTCCGTCGCTCGCTGTCTCTGTCTCTCTCCGTCGCTCGCTGTCTCTGTCTCTCTCCGTCGCTCGCTGTCTCTCTCCATCGCTCTGTCTCTCTCTGTCGCTCGCTGTCTCTCTCCGTCGCTCGCTGTCTCTCTCCATCGCTCTCTGTCTCTCTCTGTCGCTCGCTGTCTCTGTCTCCCTCCATCACTCGCTGTCTCTGTCGCTCGCTGTCTCTGTCTCTCTCCGTCGCTCGCTGTCTCTCTCTGTCGCTCGCTGTCTCTCTCTGTCGCTCGCTGTCTCTGTCGCTGTCTGTCTCTCTCTGTCGCTCGCTGTCTCTCTCCGTCGCTCGCTGTCTCTCTCCGTCGCTCGCTGTCTCTCTCCATCGCTCTCTGTCTCTCTCTGTCGCTCGCTGTCTCTCTCCGTCGCTCGCTGTCTCTCTCCGTCGCTCGCTGTCTCTCTCCGTCGCTCGCTGTCTCTGTCTGTCGCTCGCTGTCTCTCTCAGTCGCTCGCTGTCTCTCTCTGTCGCTCGCTGTCTCTCTCTGTCGCTCGCTGTCTCTCTCTGTCGCTCGCTGTCTCTCTCCATCGCTCGCTGTCTCTCTCTGTCGCTCGCTGTCTCTCTCCGTCGCTCGCTGTCTCTGTCGCTCGCTGTCTCTGTCTCTCTCCGTCGCTCGCTGTCTCTCTCTGTCGCTCGCTGTCTCTCTCTGTCGCTCGCTGTCTCTGTCGCTGTCTGTCTCTCTCCGTCGCTCGCTGTCTCTGTCGCTCGCTGTCTCTGTCTCTCTCCGTCGCTTGCTGTCTCTCTCTGTCGCTTGCTGTCTCTCTCTGTCGCTCGCTGTCTCTGTCTGTCGCTCGCTGTCTCTGTCTCTCTCTGTCGCTCGCTGTCTCTGTCTCTCTCTGTCGCTCGCTGTCTCTCTCCGTCGCTCGCTGTCTCTGTCTCTCTCCGTCGCTCGCTGTCTCTGTCTCTCTCTGTCGCTCGCTGTCTCTCTCCGTCGCTCGCTGTCTCTCTCCGTCGCTCGCTGTCTCTGTCTGTCGCTCGCTGTCTCTCTCCGTCGCTCGCTGTCTCTCTCTGTCGCTCGCTGTCTCTCTCCGTCGCTCGCTGTCTCTGTCTCTCTCTGTCGCTCGCTGTCTCTGTCTACCTCCGTCGCTCGCTGTCTCTCCGTCGCTCGCTGTCTCTCTCCCTCTCTGTCGCTCGCTGTCTCTCTCCGTCGCTCGCTGTCTCTGTCTCTCTCCGTCGCTCGCTGTCTCTCTCTGTCGCTCGCTGTCTCTCTCTGTCGCTCGCTGTCTCTCTCTGTCGCTCGCTGTCTCTCTCCGTCGCTCGCTGTCTCTGTCTCTCTCCGTCGCTCGCTGTCTCTCTCCGTCGCTCGCTGTCTCTCTCCGTCGCTCGCTGTCTCTGTCTCTCTCCGTCGCTGTCTGTCTCCCTCCATCACTCGCTGTCTCTGTCGCTCGCTGTCTCTGTCTCTCTCCGTCGCTTGCTGTCTCTCTCTGTCGCTCGCTGTCTCTCTCTGTCGCTCGCTGTCTCTGTCGCTGTCTGTCTCTCTCTGTCGCTCGCTGTCTCTCTCCGTCGCTCGCTGTCTCTCTCCGTCGCTCGCTGTCTCTCTCCGTCGCTCGCTGTCTCTCTCCGTCGCTCGCTGTCTCTCTCTGTCGCTCGCTGTCTCTGTCTCTCTCCGTCGCTCGCTGTCTGTCTCTCTCTGTCGCTCGCTGTCTCTGTCTCTCTCTGTCGCTCGCTGTCTCTGTCTCTCTCCGTCGCTCGCTGTCTGTCTCTCTCTGTCGCTCGCTGTCTCTCTCCGTTGCTCGCTGTCTCTCTCCGTCGCTCGCTGTCTCTCTCCGTCGCTCGCTGTCTCTCTCCGTCGCTCGCTGTCTCTCTCCGTCGCTCGCTGTCTCTCTCTGTCACTCGCTGTCTCTCTCCGTCGTCGCTGTCTCTCTCTGTCGCTCGCTGTCTCTCTCTGTCGCTCGCTGTCTCTGTCTCTCTCCATCGCTCGCTGTCTCTCTCCGTCGCTCGCTGTCTCTCTCCGTCGCTCGCTGTCTCTCTCCATCGCTCGCTGTCTCTCTCCATCGCTCGCTGTCTCTCTCCGTCGCTCGCTGTCTCTCTCTGTCGCTCGCTGTCTCTGTCTCTCTCCGTCGCTCGCTGTCTCTCTCCGTCGCTCGCTGTCTCTGTCTCCCTCTGTCTCTGTCTCTCTCCGTCGCTCGCTGTCTCTCTCTGTCGCTCGCTGTCTCTCTCTGTCGCTCGCTGTCTCTGTCTCCGTCACTTGCTGTCTCTCTCTGTCGCTCGCTGTCTCTCTCTGTCTCTCTCCGTCGCTCGCTGTCTCTGTCTCTCTCTGTCTCTGTCTCTGTCTCTCTCTGTCTCTCTCTGTCGCTCGCTGTCTCTCTCTGTCGCTCGCTGTCTCTGTCTCTCTCTGTCTCTGTCTCTGTCTCTCTCTGTCGCTCGCTGTCTCTGTCTCTCTCCGTCGCTCGCTGTCTCTCCGTCGCTCACTGTCTCTCTCCGTCGCTGTCTGTCTCTCTCCGTCGCTCGCTGTCTCTGTCTCTCTCCGTCGCTCGCTGTCTCTGTCTCTCTCCGTCGCTCGCTGTCTCTCTCCGTCGCTGTCTGTCTCTCTCCGTCGCTCGCTGTCTCTCTCTGTCGCTCGCTGTCTCTCTCCGTCGCTTGCTGTCTCTCTCTGTCGCTCGCTGTCTCTGTCTCTCTCTGTCGCTCGCTGTCTCTCTCTGTCGCTCGCTGTCTCTGTCTCTCTCCATCGCTCGCTGTCTCTGTCTCTCTCTGTCGCTCGCTGTCTCTCTCTGTCGCTCGCTGTCTCTGTCTCTCTCTGTCGCTCGCTGTCTCTCTCTGTCGCTCTGTCTCTCTCCGTCGCTCGCTGTCTCTCTCCGTCGCTCGCTGTCTCTGTCTCTCTCTGTCGCTCGCTGTCTCTGTCGCTGTCTCACTCTTGTCTCCGTCTCACTCTGTATTTCGCTCTCGTTCTGTCTCTGCCTCGCTCTATCTCTATCCCGCTCCGTATCTCTGTCTCACGCTGTATCTCGCTCTGTCTCACTGTCTCTGTCCCGCTCTGTATCTCTGTCTCGCTCTGTCTCCATCTCGTCTCTATCTCTCCTTGTCTCTGTCTTGTCTCTATCTCTCTCTCTGTCTCTCCTTGTCTCTCGTTCCACTGCTAGCCTGTTCTGTCTCTCACGTCTTCTCTCCGTCTCTCCTCCCGACCTGCTCCGTTACAGTCCCAGCGACAACAACAACAACAACAGCAACAACTCCGCTCTCTCGTCCCCAGAACATATCCCCGTTCTCATCAACTACCAATGAATTAAGCGGCGTTCTCACGACGCCTCGTGCCTCTGGCACCAGTCGCTATCAACCGGCGGCGCCACTCTGCCCCTGACAACAACACCCGGCCAATCACCGCCATGCATCGCATAACCATCTTAATTGGGGCCGTCTCACTTTTGCCGTTCCACGTTGCCGCACCTGTCCGGCCCGACACGGCCCCATAACTCGCGCGTCTTTACAATCCACCCTGCATGCGCGTGTTAATCCGCTACATATATATATGAAGGTTTACCTTTGACCTTACAAGACGCTGGTCTGTGTCACCAATTGCACCCCTTATTACTCGTGTGATATCGATGTCTTTTGAATCACTCATGTCGAGCAATGATATAATCCATCAAGTCCCAATGTTTTGACCTCGGGTGCATCCAGATTGCTTTGAGATGGTGAGGAAGCTGATAGAAATTATTTGATGAGAGGCTATGCATTGAGCACAGTCCCAGAAGAAGTTGACCATTGCTATTAAACTTGCAAGCATTCCAATGAAACCAGGCCAGGTGAAGCAATTGGCGGGACCCCGGGGTACCATCACTGCCCCGCGGTGGAAAAAAACCGCGTAGCGACACGAGTCTTCAATGCTAAATGCTATGCTAATTCATAGGAATAGGTTTTACCCTTTTAACTGGCACAAAAACTGACACCTTTATTCAAGGCATCGTGTTTGCAATAACCACAACACAAGCAGTCAAAATGCAAACAAAAAAGACAACTCTGATAATAATATGCAT